ATGGCAGCCCAGCTCCAGGTTGAGCTGTTGTTCAGCATCTTAGCTGTAGAGGGCAGTGTCACTGGCCCTCATATGTGGGATCTGAACCGGGTCCCAAGCCAGCTCTTAACCAACGTGCTACTCGGCTGACCCTCTAAGACATTTTTAAATAGTAGCTATTTTAGATATAGTTTGACCCTCAAATTACCATATTGTCTTATGAGTTTGAGCTTCTTCTGACTCAAGTTTTGATCAGCTTTTATATAGACATAGATGAGAAAGATTCTATTCTAAATAATCAAAATTGGCTGATGACTATTGATTTTAATTTTCTCTAAAAATCTAGCTTATTATTTTTCAGATGATATGTGTGTGCATAGTCACCCTATATAATCAGCATTCAGCATAGCAAATTTTTCAGTGGAATATTTTTTAAATGGTCACAGGAAGAGATAAGTTGGATTTTTGAGTTAAAAATTGTAATTTAGAACTACAGTATTTGAAAAATCACCAAGTGTGAGTTTGATACTTAGAGCACTAAATTGGACTTTATGTATTGAATTGATATAATAAATATTTATAGCATTTATATATATTTACATATATTTCTACAGACACATATATATGAACTTGAGTTTAACTTAGTTTTATAAATTTATTTTTGTCAGTGACTATAACTAGATATATTTTAAATTTCGTTATGATTGTTTCATATCATAGTACTCTTGCATATTCAAAAGTGAGCTCTAATATACACATCTGTAAATATACTCTCATCACTTGTTTTTTACATTTCATACACTTACTGTGCAAAGAATCTTCGCTGTAACACTAATTCTGTGTGTGTGTGTGTGTGTGTGTGTGTGTGTGTATGAGATTGAAACTAAAAATTGTATTTAGGTGAGAAAAATAAAAATAATATATCTGCAAGAGCTATAGTTGCCAGGCTACTGACACTGTCAATTGCATGTGATGTGACACAATGCCTAGGTTTTCTTCCTGAATCCTTTATAAGTCCACGTTATTTAGTGAACTACAAGGTTCACTACTTCATCTTTAAAGTATATATGTTGTTTCTGGGACCCAAAAATTATATTTTCTAAAGCAACAAATCTTTAGAATGGACATGGGATTTTTTTAAGTTTCTCACATAAAAATGAAACATACAAAATAAGGATAAAAAGGGGTACATAATATTGATCTGAAATACACAATTACCTGTCACAGTTAAAATCTATTTATTTACCTGTATATATGACATATTTTATAGGATTATTTTTAAAAATACCCTGTTCTCCCAAAAATAAGTCCTAGCTGGAAAATAAGCCCTCGCATGATTTGCGGTGCCAAAATATGGCACCTTGGCATACTGAATATTTTAAGCTGAAGGAGTTTGTGGAAAAGGCACCTTTCTCCCTGAAACAGGTCATAAAAACCCTCATGTGAGGGATGTGTGCCCTCCCTATCCTGGAGGAATCATGTTAGGGCTTCTTCTCCAGCTAGGTCTTATTTTCAGGGAAACATGATATAAACCTATTTTTAAATGGACATTCAGTTGAATATTTTCTCTTTTCAGTAATGCAAAAGCATTAATTGTGTAACCATTCATGCTGACTACAAAGAGATACAAAAGCTCCTGGACATTTCTCTTTATCTACTAAGCCAATGTCGTTATCACTTAACAAAGCTACATGGTATTACGTATATACATATATCTTATAATACTTTTGAAAGATAGTCTAGAAGTTTCAAATGCTACCAGTGTAAATATATAATTCAGATTTATAAATGCAACAGTATTCATATATTTAATAATGCATGTTTTTAAAAAATATTTCATTCAAAATCATAGATTTTAAAAAATAAACTGCCATTTTGCTTTGTCTTATTTATTATTTTAATGGTTTGGACAGCTTATTCAACTCTGAATTTAAAAAGGCTTTAGGTTGTTGGACTGTAAGACTTATAAAAGCTGATTAGGAATAAGGGCAGGCCAAATTGTATGACAAAATTGAAGTGTTTATATTATCTAAATTTGGAAAATAAAAAGTAGTAAATCAAGATATACTGATAGTTAAAGTAAAAATGTGTTGGCATGGATTTCAAAGTAATTTATTTGTTTTTAATAAATAAAAGGTTAGCAGGGGGATCTCTAGTTTCCTGCCTGGCATGTAAAGAGCTTAAAAGTCTTCACTCTGGCCTAAAATAATAAAAAGCTGAAGGAAACGTAAAAATCAACAGTTCTTCTTAGATCTGTGAGAGAAGTGAAGTCACAAAACAAACTGCTTCCCCCAAAATTGGAGAGACAGACAGGCAGATACTAGAATCACAACATACTGGAGCAAGAACCCACCAGCCGAAACCTCTGTGGGAACCAGAACAGAGTAGGAAAACCTGAACTGTAATTGATGAATTGCCAGAGCCTCATGTAGCAAATCTGAGAGTTGAAAACTCCAGGGAGGCCCACATGCTTTTGTGAGGTTTACCTCCAGGATCTCTACCAGGTCCTCTCTGTGAATATCAGAGAAAATCCTTTTATGCTTCTGGCAGAGGGAGAAGAAAAGGAACTGGTTTTGAAATATGCCAGAATATTCTCTTCTCTTTAACAAGAATGCCCTCAGGAGAAACCTGTTATATAGGGTTATATCAGAGCCTAACCTATCTGAGAGAAGGGGAATGCCCAACTCCAGTCTCCTGTAGCCATCCCCTCCTACCTATAGAGGAAAAAACCCAAGAATCAATGGTGAGATTCACATTCCATAAGCACAAATTCACCAAAAGACAGAGACCTAATCATAAGATTAAGAATGTTTCCTCTCCCCCTACACATCTTACCACCATGTTACTAAAGGCCTGTTTACCACAGTTCTTTTTACCCAGTACATCATGTCCTCCTTTCAACAAAAAATTACAATGTATACTAAAAGACACAAAACACAGTTTAAAGAGATTAAGCAAGCATCAGAACCAGAGTCAGATATGGCAGGAAAGCTGGATTTATCAGACCAAGAATTATAAAAAAACAAAACAAAACAAAAATAACACTATGATTAATATGTTATGGGCTTTAATGTAAAAAATAGACAACATGCAAGAACACATGGATAATTTAAGCAGAGAGATGGAAATTCTAAGAAAGAATTCAAAAGAAATGCTAAAGACCAGAAACACTGTAACAGAAATGAAGAATGTCTTCAGTGAGCCCATTTCTAAATTAGACATGGCTGAGGAAAGAATCTCTGAGCTTGAGGATATGACAGTATATGCTTCCAAAATGAAAGCAAAGAGAAAAAAGGATGAAAAATAAAATAATATCCAAGAACTGTGGTACATCTGCTAAAGGTGTACCATACACATAATACAAATGCAGAAGAAGAAGAAAGAAAGTAAGGAACAGAAGCAATAATTGAAGCAATGATCACTTAGCATTTCCCCAAACTGTCAGACACCAAACTACAGATCCAGGAATCTTAGAGAACACCAAGTAGGATAAATACCAAAAAAACTATACCTAGGCAAATCATATTTAAACTGCAAAGAATCAAAGACAGAGAAAACCTTGAAAGAAGTTAGAGAAAATAAACTTACCTTACCTATAGAGGAGCAAGGATAAGAATTACATTCAACTTCTCAGAAACCATGCAAACAAGAAGAGAGTGCAGTGAAATATTGAAAGGGTTGAGAAAAATAAAACACCAGCCTAGAAATCTATACCCTGCAAAATTATCCTTTGAAAGTGGAGGAGAAATAAAGACTTTCTCAGACAAATGAAAATTTGGGAATTTGATGTCAGTAGACCTTTCCTTCCAAGAAATGTTCAAAGTTTTCCACAGAGAAGGAAAATGATACAGGTCAGAAACTCAGATCTACATGAACGAAGGAAGAGTATCAGAGAATGAATGTGATGATAAAATAAAAACTTTTATTTTCTTAATTGATCCAACAAGTAACAGTTTGTTCAAAATAAAAATAATGTATTTGATTATGTATGCTTATGTGTGTATATATATATATATATATATATATATATATATATATATATATAAAGGATTGGAAGGAGGAGTTGGGGGTATTTTATTGGAAGGCTCTGACACTACTTGAGAAGTAGTGTAATGTTTGAAAGTAGACTTGGATTAGTTATAAATGTATATAGCAAATTCTATGTCAACCACTAAAAATTGTTTTAAATGAGCTATAATTGATTGATATGCTAAGGAAGGAGAAAAATTGAATACTATAAAGTACTCAATTGAAATCACAAAGGGAAGAAAAAGCAAGAAAGACAAAAACAGGAACAAAGAACAAGGGCAACAAATTGAAATAATAAAAATATAGTAGGTATTAATCCAATGGTATCAATAATGACCTTGAATGTCAGTGCTCTGAATACATCAAGTAAAAGACATATAGTCAGAGTGGATCAAAAAACAAGACCCAACTAGATGTTGTGTACAAGAAACACATTAAATATAAAGACACATATAGGTTAAGAGTAAAGGGATGGATGAAGATATACCATGCTAACACTAATCATAAATGGATATATAATAACTATGTTAATTTCACACAGAGTAGAGTTTAAGGCAAGGAAAGTTATGAAGAATCACTGTACCTCTGGGGTTGTTTATGGGAACACCCTCTGCCCTGCCACATAAACAGTTTATACTCAGTAGTTTCCAGCTTCCTTCTGTCCCATCTTCACAATGAACGATATTGATAACCCAGTTTGTATATCTGCCTTGTGTACCTCAAATAGTTTTTGTGAGAATATAAAGTAAGTATAAAAACTAGGAGTTGTATGACAGATGTCATAATATTGGCTCACAGTGTTTTACATTTGAATTTGCTGCTTGAATGAATTGCTCATATTTAAAAGTTGGTACATTTTACATAAAATGTATTTTTATTTCACATAAAAACCTGAAAATTTTTGTCTGGTAAGTTCTATAAATGTGGCAACATGGCACAGCTCTCTCCAGTGGTACCAGAGCCCTTTAGATAGGATATGCACTTTCTCTTCCACTCTAGTCCCCATCACTCCTTATATGATTCCCAACCCTTGGCCATGTGTCAGTTCTCATTTATAGTTTTATAATTTCTTGCTTCCCTAATTTAAATTGCCTGCCTTGATGTCGATAGACATTGGAGAATTTTAATTCCTGTTCTCTGAAAGTAGAAATTGAAATGAATAGTCTTAGTAGAAAATTTTTTTCAGGGCATAAAGTTTAGGATTGAGGAAGATAGATGTAAAACAATGAAGAAGAAGTTTATTGAATAATGAAAACAACTGATGTTTTTCCAAATTTGTTTTTCAAGGCAAACATGTCCCAGGTAAGGCAAGTGGGACTGTTGGCTGCTGGGTGTCAGCCATGGAACAAGGATGTGTGTGCTGCTAATGGAGACAGGTTTGCCTATTGTGCCACCCTGGCCATCTATATTTATCAGGTAAAACAATACTGGTGCCTTTTGATTTTTAATTTTTAAATTAATATTTAATAATTATTTTGTAAATCCCACTCACATGAAAAGTTTAATGCTATTTTATTGATATTTATATTTAATACTTTGTTGCTATTTATATTTTATGTTAGCTTTACAAGTCAAGCTTTTAGAAAATGCTTATGTCATAGTCCTAAATTATTTGCAAAATCTTAATTGATTTCATAATCCTTTATGTGCTGCTCATCAAAAAGAATTTTCTCAAGAATTAAGAGATTTCATTTTTTAAAAAATTTATTATTATTAATTTAATTTATTTTATTTTTTATTATTAGTTTCAGGTGTACAAAACAATGCAATAGTTATCCTTTTCACCCCTCACAAAGTGATAACCCCCTTCCCCCATCCACTGCCCCCACCCCCGATATTATACATACCTATTACAATTCCATTGACTCCTTTCCCACACTATACTCCACATCCCATGACTATATATGTATTAAATTATAGTTGACATATAATATCACTCAACAACAGCTTCAGATGTACAGTGTAGTGGTCAGGCCTCTACACCGTCCATGAAGTGGTCTCCCTAACAAGACATGAGTTCATCTGGCCCCCTAAAAAATATTTACAACATTATTGATTACATTTCCCAGACTGTCTTTTCTATCCCTGAGGCAATATTGTAGTTACCAATTTATGTTGTCTTGTCCCTTCCCCTTCTCCCTCATCCCCACTCCCGTCCCATCTAGCAGTCATCAGTTTTTCCTCTGTGTTTCTGAGACTATTTCTGTTTACTTTGCTCGTTTATTCAGTTTTTTAGATTCCACATATAAGTGAGATCATATGGTATTTGTCTTCCTCTGACTGACTTATTTCACTTAGACAATGTTCTCTAGGTCCATCCATATCATTGCAAATGGTACGATTTCCTTCTTCTTTATAGCTGAGTAATACTCCATTGTGTAAATATACCAGTTTCTTAATCCAGTTGTCTACCGATGGGCATTTCGATTATTTCCAAATCTTGGCTATTGGCTATTGTAAATAGCGCTGCAATGAGCATAGTGGTGCATGTATTTTTTCGAATTAGTGCCTTGGGTTTTCCTGGATAAATACCTAAGAGTGGAATTGCTGCATCATACGGTAGTTCCATTTCCAGTTTTTTGAGATACCTCCATACTGATTTCCATGTAGCTGCACCAATCTGCAGTCCCACCAACAGTGCACCAGGGTTCCCTTTTCCCCACAACCTCGCCAGCACTTGTTTGTTGATTTATTGATGATAGCCAAGAGATTTCATTTTATTAATGGTGAGCAAGCCGTTTTTAATTCTTAACTATATTCCCATATAAATAGAGGAATTCATTTGTTTCAAATCTTGCTCAGTAATATTTGATATGTGAAAATTGTCTTATCAGTTGAATAATGTGGATTGTCCATTAGAGATCATTAAATTAAAAATAGTGCAGGTATTATTTTGGGATTTTCTCGGCATAAAAACTTTATAGCTACTTGTTTTCATGGCCTAGCTCCACCCCATCTCTTATCAGTTCTTACAGAGCCAGTGGCCTTCTGAATTATAGAGGTGCCCTAAGCACCTTAAATCCAAGTACAGTCTTTCTCCTTAAACCTGGAGTCAATATTTCATTGTCACCAGCTAACCATCCATCTAAACCACAAATGTGAGAGTTATTTTTGGTTCCTCTTCTGCTCATATCCTATACCCTAGGTAACCAGGAGTGATTCTAGTATTTTCTATCTTTTATTATCATCTTTACACCCTTCTCACCTAAACTATTGTCTCTTAATATTCTCTTTGCCGCTACTTTGACTTCCTCTAATTTATACCTCAATGTCATCAGTCATCTGTAAGACAAATCCAAAATTTTAAATCTTCGGTTGCTCCTCATTCTCTAATATTAGCATCCGAACTTTTGCAATCTGCCTATGTCTCCCTCTCACTTTGTGTTCCTGACATACTAAGATAATTGCATTTTCTAAAATAGCTCTGACTCTTTTATATCTTGCCTTTGCTTTACTTTTTCAGTTCACCTACATTGCTTGTCCAAAGAACATTTTCTCATCTTTCAAACCTCAGCTAAAATGTACAAGCTCTTCCACATTCTGCTTTTTCCTCTTTCTCTTGGTGAAGGACCTTATAAAATGGATTGCCTTTCTCCATGCTTCCATTTAGTAGCATGAATCTCCTTCATCGTTCAATTCTCAAGTTATTTTACACTCTCTGGCATTTAGTAGATACTCACTAAATGTTTCTTTTTTTTTTTTTAAGATTTTTATTGGAGAATTGGGAGGTTGGGAACAGTGCTGGGGAATTGGGGGAAGGGGAACAGAAA